TTAAAAAAACAAATAACTACAATTATTGCAGGTTGTAAATGACGTCATCGGTTACCAGGTCACGACCTAATACTCTTGCTGCAGTATCAGTTATCTATACAGGCCGAGTGGGTGGGGTTAAAGGGGAGTATCTCCCTACACTGGTCAATTCCGGTGAATTATGACAATGCGCCGTCTTCCTGTGTTGATGATATCTACTATATATGATTTATTGATAATAATAACACAGCTCTAAATAATGTAGGTCGATGTTTATATATTATGTAAAACAATACGGCATAATAGACCGAAAATAATTCGTCTTCTTGACTGCGCTTATTATTAATACATGCTTAATGGCAACTCGTCACTCGTGTTTTAAGAATAACTTCTTTAGCAAAATATTGACTTCATGACATTAGGAAAGCTATACTAGGAACACCACAGCACTGAATTATGTATTCATGATTGATTTGCGTAAAACAAAACAATACAGACTTGGGACTCTCTCTTCAATGTCCAAAGGTCTGAGTTTCATATCCATCCATCATAAAATAATAAGCTGTATGCTGTTGCTGCTCGATTATATCTCGTTTAAAAAGAAAACAAAATGAAAACAAAACATCGTACATGCATATGAATCACGGAGCTATTTCAATCCTGAAAACTTCTGCTAATATACAAACAAGGGAATATTTAAATTGTAAATTATATGTTGTCTTGTTTTTTGTTCTGTTTGGCGTTTACAATATAACACAATTTCGGCTCCCGTATTTGGTAAATTTGTGTTTAGGACATACAACTGTGAATTGGAAATGAAATGAAATGGTCAACAGTGAATTGGATCTACAAACAAGGTTAATATAAGGGGTGCGATTTGGTTGATATTTTGGGACAGCTTCGATTAAAAACAAAAAAAATAAAGGACACAAAAATACAAAAAAAGCAGAACAGAGCTGAATTTCTAATGAGGGTTTTCTTTGTAATTTGACAATTAGTTTTAATTTTTCTAACCGTAAAAATTAATTTTCTCGATGAATGACAGCATAGAAAGTGAAGTGAGTGCCATGTGACATTGGAGTGGTGTGGAAACAAACTTGCCCTCGAGATGGCGCTGTTTCGCCCTCGAACGATGGGCAAACTTCTATTTTACTGAGGCAACAATTAAATGAATTGTTAGAGTATAATCATCGTTGGCATCTTGGTATCTTTGATTTATTTGATCGGCCCAATAAAATAAGTCACCGGAAAATTATCATTCCAAGGTGAAAGACTTCTCTGCTGCTGCTCACGTGCAGTGTATTCATCCGCACCGACCATTTCGCTCGACCAAAAAATACAAAACGATTGTTTCCGCGAAGCGTTTCACGTGATAATAATCTTAATTTTCCGTGGTCGTGGCTTCATATCATGAAAATTGAATATTGTTTATGCAGTGTTTTTATTGCTGAAGAAAAATCTGTTATATATTAAAATGAAGTCTGCTAATATGATGCGCTTTGACATATTTATATCAGGCTATGAACAACCTCTACATTTTAAAAACATTAACTCAAAAAGCACAATCTAAAGATGACAGTTTTACTCATTCATTTATTCATCAACCGTTAATTTTCCATTAATCTTTTTGTTTTCAATTTATACTTGATGCTCGTTTTAATTCAAAAGTTTTTGTTTTGCATGTTCTTATTTCGATTACGTTCTTCTTTAGACATGTATAAAAAATGAGAGCACAAAAAACAAAACAAGTATTTGGTTAATATAGCGAAACGAATAATTTAATTAAAGAAACTATATAATCAGACTACATAATGATTAAGACAAGCGTAATGAATTTTGACAACACGAATTAACACAGTCAGAATTCAATAGTTCTATGCATATTCAGTATGTCTGAGGAGATGTTTTCAATGCATATAAAACCTATTATTCATAGTCTGCCCTACATATGTTTTTTGTCAATACTGTGTTGATTTTTCGATTGTCCAGAAAAAATCACACATAGATGACAATTAATTATAATGACTTCACTGTCTTTCATAATTTAAAAAAAAAACACAACATAATTTATATTGAGAATAATCACTGTTTTGTACAAATAGAACAACGTTTCCACAAGTGTCCTCGTATCGCTATCAAGCACAAATGATTGTTTTCCATATAAATTGTGTTGTGCCTTTATTGTACTCAATCGCTATATGCCACTCAAGGATTATACTTTTATAATTTGTACGCCCAATATTTTATTTGTTTACAGATTATTATTCTTCAAAGTTTGATAATGATTGTGAAAGTAATATATACTAAAATGTCTTAGAAAGTAGAACAATACATTGGCTATAATATTGCATTGATTTTATATATAATGATATACGCATTGTAGTTGATGAGTTTTGAGGGTTCCCCAATGTACAGATATATACGTATAAGTTTATTGTTGAAAAAAAAAGCGTTTATCATCTATTGTGTTATTTTAAATATATTAACCCATTTTCATACATATTGTGGAATACAAAAGCTTGTCTGTTGCCAACTTTGATATACCAAAGCCTATACTATACTATAATACAGTGGTTTAACCGGCGGGGTTTCCGTAAGGCAGTTTCTGCCAATATGACATGTATATAGAGAAGATGCTAGCCTTTGGATATTATTACACTTACTCCACACATACACTGCTTAAATGTCGATTAATGGGTCTATTGTTATCAATAACTGTCCTTTATAATAAACAAAAGAGTATTGTTTACTCTTAATGACCTTACCTACTAAAACTTAATTAACTTAACGACTTTCAGCAATATTTGCAGTCTATAAACTTCTGTGGGGCGATATATAAATAATCTCTTGTGAAATAAAACAAAGCTGTTAATGCCGCGCCATAATCCAAATCCATTCTGCCACTTATGACTGTTCAATATAATTTCTATAGAAAGGTAAACTCCATGCTTAATCTTCTCACATCTTTGTTGACATTTTTTGTCAATATTTTGGAAATATATTTTCTCGCTTTCTCTTTTTAGCGAGCGTTTAATCCGATTTTTAACTTTTAAGTGAGTTTTTTGACAGTCATTTATAAAACAGTTTTAAATCCATTTATTGATTAAGAAATATGGATTAAATTCGTGCGAACTTCTAAAGGACAACTTTAACTCTGAATTAAGTTATGTGTATTTAAAAACAACATAATGTAGACTATCGGGATTTTAAACAGAAATAAAAATATCTAAAATTTTAAAAAAATTATTTACAAGAGTAATATGAAACAAAGAAGTCATTTGTCGGAAAATTTCTCCTTAGACATAAAGAATAAATTAAAATACAATAAACAGTATATGATATGAAAGCCTGTTTAGGTTCTCTTGCTTCAAAACTACCGAATCGCTAATAGGCCCTGTGTAATACCAAATTTTATTTATTTCTAATTTTTCGATTTTAATGTGTTCAGTTTTTCGCCCGTTTCCAACTCCCAAATTCACACAAGGTGTAAAATATTAAAAGACGCGACTAATAGCGCTGACGATTGTTTACATTATAAAAATGTGCGGAAATATGTTTGAGTTGAGATGGCCACACAAGTATTTTTAAAGATTAATTCCAAGATGGCATAAATCATGGAGGCGGTATGACAATTTTCTTTGCCTTTCCGATTAGTATAATAACTAAATATGATTAGGAATACAACAAATATGAAATGAAGCGAAACTAATCCGATAGCCGACGTTTGATCCCGTTTCATTTCATTTCTATCAGCTTGCCTCAAGTCGAAACAAAAATGATACCAAACAACAATTTGTTCTATTCTTTAACAAAAAGAAAAAAAGATTTTCGTTTTAGCAAAACGGAATAATTATCCAGTTTAAGTGTCCTAGCCATTGGGCTTTCTTCAAATACTTCATTTGCAGAGAAAACAAGAAACCGCTTTGTGTATCAAAGCCCAGTCGGTCAAAATCGCTGTGGGCTACATTTGCGCGGAGTTCGCCGTAAACTCAAATTTGCGCGGTGTTCTTCGATGCTCACATTTGATTGGTTCACACTGCTCAATGATTAACCAAATGTGCTCTCTGTGACAGGGGGCGGGACAATGGGCGGTCGGAAGAGTCCATTGTTCAATGAGTGAGTGTGAAATTAGTGGTGTATATGTGTTGCTCTCATGTTGAGTAGCATAAGATGTACGAGTATAGGATGATAAACGGCATTCTTACAGCTGACAGATCGTAGTCAAATCTTAGCCGTCATCAAAAAGGTAAAATTGTGCCACGCTTTTACCTTTTTACGGTGTCTAGAAGTTTGATGTTATATCATTGTTGAGTGAAGAACGACATGAAATAATAAGCCGATGTAATCATTCATTTTACACTGTGTTTTGAGGAATTATTATTTGCGACGTGCATGCCGCTTTTTTGTGTGTGATGGATTCTAATTTTTTTTTTTTAATTTTGACATACTGTTAAAAAGGACTTTGTCTTAAAATAAATTTTATTGCAATTTACCAACGCGACTAATTTATATTTTGAGACAAAATTGCTGCATCGAATTACAAATTTGAATATCTGTCCGCAATGATTTATTTTGTCTTGACGCGGGTAACGGGGAATATGTTTGTTTTGTAATGATATATTTTATTATCGAGTATATTATTAATTCGAATAATTGGCAAAATAATGATTGAAAATTGGATTATTATAGTATTTATATTCTTAATGTGTTTTATGGATAATTTTCCTTGAATGTATTTGTGTTTTTCTGGACGCTATATTATACCGTATTTGCGGGAAAGCCGGTAGTAGTAAACAGCTAGCTGCTTTCCCTGTTCTATTCAATAGTCAGCTCGCCCAAAGGCAGGCGGTTTTGACAGCTCGTTCATCATCCCTTTCTATAGTAACACGGTTTTGATTGACAGTTGTAGCGGGACTAGCTACTCGCTACGACAAGCAAGCCGTTATACTAGGGAAAATGTTGAAGGCACTGTTCGATGGAAAAGCTTATAGTGTTTGACAGTTTTGTACCTTTTTTGACAGGCACCACTATTTGTGTGTACGGAGGGATACCGCTTGTTGATACTAGAGAGAAAAAACTTACGCAATAAGCAAGCGATACACCAAACATAAAGACGGGGAGACGAAGCATCGCTTGTCATGGCACAGAGGGTAGGTAGCAATCTTCTTATTTTAAATTGAATTTATGACCACAAAGCGTAGCTATTAATATTATTTATGAGGAATTGATACGGCAGCTATCCATGCCTTGATATTAATGACTTCTTTCTTTTTTTTCAGTTTGATAATGACATTCCCCATTACGGGGGCATGGAAAGCGCAGGAATGTACGATCCCCACCGTTCGATGGGGACTCACCCCCTCACTCATTCTCATACAGGATCTATACACCAATACCCTTCGTATACAACCAGCAGTAGTATGCCGGGAGTAATGAGCACAACACAAGACAGTCAATTAAAAAGGGACAAAGATTCTATATATTCGTAAGTAATAAAGTGTATTTTAATTATTTAGCGATGTATGACGTTTAATATGAGGAGATATAGGTCCAAAGTTTGCCACTTTGTATCACCTTGTAGTGAAAGAACACGTGTAAGCGTAATGTTTATAGTGGATCGCAGTTGATTAATAGATGATCAATGAAGTAATTACTGCAGAATGGAAACTGACGTTTCAGCAGTCAACTTGTCTATATCTATAAGAATGTTTAAGTGACATCTGAAGTCACTATGCCATCGCTGCTTGTGTTATATTTCAGACTGATATTCTTGTTATCATCTAAACTATACAGGCAGTCAATACACTCGCTTATAACTTGTCGGCCGTCGCGTATTTCAACATCAAAATGGCCGCCATGTTTTGTAGATATCGGCACTCAAAAGATTTGATGGTTTTTCCATATTTTTTTCTTGCAGACATCCACTATTTCCTCTGCTAGCACTTATTTTTGAAAAATGCGAGTTAGCAACGTGCACACCTCGAGAACCGGGTGTGGCGGGAGGGGACGTGTGTTCGTCTGAATCATTTAACGAAGACATAGCTGTATTTAGTAAACAAGTACTCGTACGTATGCATTTTGATATATTTATTGTTAACACATTAAAAATCTATTATACCCTAATTAATACAGTGACAAATTCAGAATGAATCATCGTTAATTTTATTAGTCAACAAAAATATCAAACCCAAATCAGTTATACTGTATTTAAAAATATAAACAAACTCGCTTTATTTTGACTAAAGATTGCGACTTATTTAGAAAGAAGTTCATAATTTTCTTTAATTATATTTGGCATTTGAATAATATTTTTGTGACACGTTAGAATTTATTTTGTATGTTCTCTGAGGTATATTAGGGTATGATAGTGTTGTGTTTTGTCGGCTGTATTCAGCGTTATTGATTTACCGGGCCGATATTATCTCAGAGGCCTGCAGGTATCATATGACCAATTATTTCCTGATTTGAAAATCTGGCAATTTTAGAATATACACAGACGACTCATTGCAAAATGGATTAAATTATCAATTAATACATTTACTTACACTAGAGAAATGTATCGCTTTTGTTTACTAAATTAATATTATTTTTTATGTATTATTGTCTGATATTCCTTATACAATTATATTGCCTGGCCGTTATATATGACATTGCCTGGTCGTTTAAATTGTATATTATATTAATATCGTTATATTTTATATTATATTAAACCGATTCATTAATTAAGTAAATCATCGGGAAAAACGATTATTAAATTACCGAGCGATACTCTAACCATTTTTGCACTTCCCATATTTGCGAATCGTGGCCGAGTTTTATTAAATAAATGTAATTTAACTCGACTTTGAACAATAGTGCCAGAGTATTCAAGCATATTTTAGGTTTTTGTATCAGTTTGTTAAGAGAGCTTTAGATATCGCTAACAAACAATGGAATACGGTGAGAAATTTATTAATGTACAGCCAGTGTCTCTCTTTTCATTTTGTTCTCGGTTCGTAGTTGTATTGTTGCTCACGCGAAAATAATATCGTTTAGCATTATTAATCCGCACAATGTAATAAACCTAACTACGTTATAGTCCCCTTTCACAAGTAACCGTAAAAATTATCTTTTTATAAAAGCACCATCATTGAGAAATAAAATGCGTGTGCGTGCAATATGCGACGGATAGATGGTTACAATGTTAAAGATTTTTTTTCCAGATATTATTAGTTTTCTTTCTCAACACGAATCGCCATGGATATAAAATTTAGTCGGTCAACATGACTATAAAATTGTTATAATGCGTGTGAAAAGGACTTTTTTACGATATTTTTGTGTGTTGTTATCGTGTGGACATTTTCTAATATAAAATTTTACTGGGATAATGTCTAACTGTTTTTTGTGGTGTTAAATTTGTTGCAGGGTCGATCCGAAAAACAGTGTTTTTCAACAAATCATGAACTTGATAGTTTGGTAAGTTTGTTTAATTTATTTTATATTTTAATTTCCCAAAATAAATCATATCATTTGTAAAAAAAAAAATATTTTTTTTAATAATTACTAACCAACAATTGAAATTGTTTCTGATTAGTTATGAATCATTAATATGAAAAATAACTTGGAGAGTCTTTTTCCTCCCGCTATTTTTATTGTGTTTGGAATGGAAAGTAATTGTTTTTACTGCGTGTTATAATTAAGATAATAACAAAAATAATTGTGTTTATAATAGAGCTTTGTTTATGTGCTGATTAAATACATCATTGAGTGAATGTTCTCTTCAATTTTCTACGTGACTGTGGAAATAATAACGAGCAATGCTTATTTTCCCCCGTGAACCATTGCGGGCAAAAGTCGATCAAAATTTGTGACTCGTAACCGACTGATGGTATCGCCGGGTAAACGGCCTTCTTTCTAAATGGCCGTTATAGAAATTTCCTTACAAACGAAACGATCGGAGCAAGTGATTTTAATGTGGGATTTTAGAAATAAGACTAACGGCTAGAAGGCACGGTAATGAAGCATCAGCTCACAAGGGAAATTCAGAAAATGGCGGCGACAATTTCGTTCACAGACACACACCAAAATATTCTCTAGCTTGCCATGCTTGCCGTACATTATTTCTTTTCGTGCATGTAAATGATGAAAACTGGTCCAGATGGTTTAATGACTTCTTGGCATGGTCTGGCAGATTTGGAACAAAGCTGACTGTTACAGAAAAAAAAATCTGGAAAAATATCCCGTTCTATCTAAATATCATTAACACGTATTTGACTAAATACCCCACCCGCATTCAAACTCGCGGCGGGTCAAACGTCACGGGAAAACCCCTTGGCGTAAATTCGAAATAAATTTAATTTTAATTGAGAAACATTTCTGTTACATTTCAACAATCCATATCTGCTAAATATCAGATACAATAAATACACAACAATTTATGACGTCAAAAATTAAAGAGACTGATGTATGAACTATCTATAATTAAAACAAATACATTTTAATATTTTTTTCAGATGATACAAGCAATTCAGGTTTTACGATTTCATCTGTTGGAACTAGAAAAGGTAAGAAAAATTTATAATCTTTGTTTTTAAATATTGTAAGTTAATCAACATGAATATTTGAAATTTTTAAAATAGTTTTGTGTTATATTTGAATTTTATCATTTAAACGGGGCAGTCCATAGAGCTGGTGTTTAAAATCCTATCTATTCGGCGCGTCGAGTACTTTCCCCCAGTTTCCAAGCGATTATGGAACGTCCGCATTTTGTAAATAAACATTAAATTGATAAGAATAATTTCACCTAGCAATGTAAACAGATAAAACCCAAAATGGCCATCACACAAAAGTTTTACAATCAATGCCCTGCACCTGGATTTTATTCATAAAACCGACATTCTGATAAAAACTCTATTGGGGTGACTTTTATCAAGATTTTAAAACTTTTATCAGTAAATTTTTAGTGTCAGTAATTCTTTCCACAATAGTGTGTAAATCCCATATAATGATATATCTCTTGATTTTATCTCTTAAAATATTTTCGACTTTACAACGAGTCTATATTTTTTAACGAAATACGAAACCATTTGCTCATTTCTTAATATTTTTATTGTCATTATTTTTCAAATTATTGTATATCGTATTTTCAAAATTTTCTCAAAAATATAATGTCGCATTTCTAAATAACAGTATTTATTTCCCCAAAATATTACAAAAATATTTTCTACAAATGAAAAAATAACATCAACATCCGGCCCGTATAGTGATCTCGTGCGCCTCTCTCGACTTGCAGACGACAATTTAGACAAGTATTGATAATCGGCGAACGAATATCACGCAAAGTAGTTCTGAACAAAAGAAATAAATAAAGGCTTATAAAATGAGTATAATTTACTTTGTTAATTGTGTCAGTTCATTTAAAATGCAATTATTGTTTATTTCTATTTTAGGTGCATGAACTATGTGACAATTTTTGCCATAGATATATTAGTTGCTTAAAAGGAAAAATGCCTATAGACTTAGTTATAGACGACAGAGAATCTACCGGTTCCAATACTGGAACGCCAAAATCCTCAACAACGACAGGGGGGCTGGATAACCCAGCGGATATTTCAGAAAATAGTCAGGAACAGGTAAGACACTATATTTTTTTTAAAACATAAATAATTGCATGGAGGTTTCAATGATACACTCCGGAAAAGGGCACGAGTTTTGCTTTTCCCGCCATTTTTCCAAAGCACCCATTAAAAAATTAGGAAGATGCCGCATTCATAATCTAAGAATAAACAACATGAAGTTTTTTATCTCCTTCAAAACACACGCACAGATATTTTTCAAATTATCAATTAATATAGCAACTGTATTATTTTTAACATTTGCTGTTAATCAAGGTAATAATTTATGTCAACAAATTCGGTCGTTAAAGCAAATAGAGTTTAGTTATCTTGGATAATTTTAATGTTTTCCCCCATCTTGAATTTCCTGTCTGCCCCCATGTTAGAGGTCACCATCAAGTGGATTCGGTCACACATGCCATTAAGTGATTATTTTTATGGCGGATAATGAATATTATGGACAATTCTTGTACCATAAAAGTGACAACTGCACAGATTGTGTCATTGGATATGATTAGCCATATAGGAAAACACCTTGAACTGAGCGAAAGTTTATCTACGGTCGTTTATTAGACCAAGCCCAGTGAAAGTTGGTCAACTTTTTACAACCTAATTTAAGACATTGGTTGCGTGCTCAGACTCGGCTGTGTTCATCACCCGAGAAGGTTGTGTAGCAAACCAGTTTTGTTCAGGGTTTTTTTGTCAGAGAGGGGTGATGTTACATTTTGTTTCGAAACTGGAATGTAGTCAACGTACATTATAAAATTTCCTAATGTCAAACGGTCGAATTTATCCCATTAAAAGTATCAGATTCTCCATTTAAACCCTATTATGATTATCTTTTAAAGTTTGTTCTTGAATTCTTTGTTTAGAGATAGGATAGCACATGGATTTAAGTGTAGGAAATTTAACCTCAAGCCTCAAATAAATTTGGGGTTATGGTAGTTGGGAAGCAATGTGGGGTATAATGCTTAAAGTCCAAGTAATGGTTACTTTTTAGTAAGCACTAAGCAGCTAACATAAATGGACGACATGGGGTCCACCTTTAAAATATTACCCTCATACATTATGAGCGGAAAGCAAGAGGAATGTAATTCTCAGGTAAAATTACTTGAAAGGAATGTAAAATAACAGTCAGTTACAAAATACCCAACAAATTACCATCTTAACATTGGCCAGTGATTCACGGTCCAGAAAGAAAAGATGTTAGTGTGGGGTTTTTGACGTTTTTGTCACGTTTTGCCCTATTCTCAGGTATTGTCAGTCATCCATGCCTGACCAAATGTAGACAAGTTGCCTATCTCAAGGGTAGTTTTATAATAACTTGAGCTCAGTTATCTATTTAATGATGATCATACTCACAGACAATCAGGCTTTATATTCAACTACTCAGCCTGCTATCATTGGACTAATGAGTTGCCTTTCAGGGGACTAGTAGTTTGTAATGTTAGTGTATTATAGAAAGAATGATGTCCTGTATAGTGTACCAAACTAAGGTTTTTTTAAGGTGTTGAATAATTGGTCCTATTTGTGCAGTATTGGTCAAACTTGAGATCTGTTAGCTTTCCTTATTTGAATGTCATTGGAAATCAGTTTTAAAAAAAAGTGTTTAAAGAGTTCATTTTTGGGATTGATTACGAATGTAAGAAATGTAACCGAATCATAAACTTTTACTACTTTCAATATTGGGTATATAAAAAACACACAAGAATAAAACCTTCCATTAAATTATAGTTTATTAATTTCTACTTGACTGGGCAGAGCATTGAAAAATGGCAACATCCACTCTTTTTAGAAATTAAACGGTAATTGAGTTGAATTAGTGACTACACCTGCGTGTACATAATAACAACATAAAAAAGATATGTATCTGTGTCTGCTTTTAGCTATAGAACTGATTCTATGTATAATTGTATTAATAAGCGTGATTTGCCATATGACTGCTATATGTTAGCCTTGTCTTTGTTCAGTTGCTAGTAAGGTTCATGCGTATTATTGGATTAACGTAGTTTTTTATTGAATAATTTACATGCATTCATAAAAGAAATATGTATTCACTTCACTGCAGACTAATTCAACATTAGTGAGTGTGTGTGTGTTGTGTTCATATTATTAATTTATATTCCTCCATTTTGAATACATCAAAATCTTTCTTTGTTTAAACATTAGAAAATATTCAATAATTCTTGAGGACATGAGATTTGTATTCATTTTAAGTGTAAAAATCGAGATGTGGGGTATTAAATGGGTGAATTTAAGATACAGATTTCAAAGTAATTAATTTATATTCTTCTCAGAGTCTTTGATGATGCAAGTTGTTCAAGAAATGATAAGAAAGTAATTGAAATCTAAAGAGCGGTGTTTTGTTGATCCTTTATTTTAAACTAAAAGGGAGTTGTTTAATCTTTTATAATTGTATGAAAGCCTGGAAAAAGACAGTCACAAGATGTCTCTGCTACTTGCTTCTGCTTGAAAGATTTCATTGAAGAGGGGTTGGTCTTGTGGTGCCAAGCTTGAACCACCCTAGGGGTAATGTTCCACTTGGCTTACTCCAGATACAAGTTACCCAAGAGCTAATATAAGATTAGATAGAACTTGTTGTCCTCATTAGATCCTCCCCCTTCCTTAACCACCCATTGAAGAGGACCAACTAAGGTTATCTCTTTATCTAACACTCATTATCTGATCAAGGGAGAGATAGGACTGTAACAGGGTTACCCATTTCTTCCACCCCTTTCTTGCCTCGATTGTTCAGTTTGTGGCAGTTTTATAGACATTCTTGTAATAGTTAGATTTTAATCAGTTTTGAAGATGTAGATAAGTGCATGAAAGGGGAGGATAAGGGGGATGACCATTTCTATTATTCCAGATCTTTGTTTACATTTCATACCTCTTAACTTCATAAACAATAGGATTAGTTCTTTGATCTTTACCTATGTGTATAGTGATAGAGGGAAGAGCAATGCTACTGTCTATCAGTGAAACATAAATAAAAAGGCTATATATACCAATAAATCAATAAGTAGATTAACAGTGTAAATAAGTAAATATTTTGTTCATGTTTATTCAACTTATTATTAGCCCAGTTGGTGCAGAAAAGGATGACAAACCCCATTTCATTTCTATTATTCCTAATTGAGTATCCTTTTGAAATATGAATAATGACTTTATTTGGCATATCTTGTGAATTTGTGGATAATTTCTAATATTAAAGATACTTTCTTCGCATACAAACTGTGTGAATTTATGATATATTTGGACTAAAAACATATTCAAACTAATTAATCTATCAAAAATTTCTTCAAAATCGCTCTCAAAACTTTGTATTTGCCAGGAGATTCCCATAGTTATAAATTAACTGTAGTTAAACGCCATGGCTGTCACCTTACTTCATTGTGGGAGGGTCCATTTTTCAGAATGTATTTTTTATTACTTACTGTCCATTTACCATACATATTGATAAAGAAATAACAACTGCTCCCTCAGTCAAGCTAGCACACAATAAGCTGGCATACAACAATCAGGTTTCCAGTTACTGATATCCTGAGATTTTTGCCCAGTGCTTGCCCCATGGGTGTTTGTCTGTCGGGTAATCCAGTATTTTTCTAGTAAGATTGGGTGTCTATACTTTCCATGTATACCAAATTTGCCATACTTCTATTGGAAATAACCTTCGATAAATATATTCGGGACAATATATCTTTAAACTGTAGTTGAGTTAAATAGCTTACCATACATTATTGTTACAATTTTTAGATAGTTTGTAATGTAGGAATATATAGAACTGATATTTGTAGTTATGTTGAATAGCTTTCCATGCATTATTGCATTAATTAGTGTTAAAATTAAATTGGTTGTTTTAAATAGTTTAATATTGATTCAAGCAAATTACATCAGAACAATTTCTTCCTACTTTGCTCCTCCATAAAACAATGATTTTTTTTCTGTTTAGTGGTGGCTTACTGAAGTTTTATGGCCAAGTTAATTAAAACAGTCAATGTGTATTGAGGTGAAAAATAATTAAATTGGAAGCAGTGTTTATTTCTGTGGTTTATTGAACTAGCAGAATTGTATATTAAAGGAGGCTGGTGGGTGTATATGTATATTACTACCCGTTGTATATTACATGTGTATATACAGAGTAGTGTATATTGATCACACCTGGCTAATTGTATTAATGGTTTGAAATGGTCTTTATTATATATACCTTTGGGTGTAATATAATTAATTTGTTGTGATGTTATTTAACTACCTCTGTGCATGATTTACCATCTACTTATTTCAATAATTACTCTTAATTCTTTTGCTAAAGGAGTTAAAAATCATCATTATAAAAGAAACATTTATGAAATTTCTTAATATCATGGTGTTGAATATATTAATCGAATTAAAAATAAATTGCTTTAGGCTATCATTAGGTAATGTTAATCAAATTATTAATGATGATAGTAAATTCTAGCCATTTTGGATTTTTAATTGAACCTAAAATTTATATGAATAATATTTTCATTACGATGGATATGACTAATGTCATAAATTGGTTATTTTTTATATCATATTTTATATACGATATATGGTGATAATTGATATATTTAATATTTTTAAATTTGATGATAAAATATATGGGCTATAAATAGAAGATAAAGTTGTGATAAAGCCTATTATATCTGTTAAAATATCATGTTGAAGGACTAGACTTTTAATAGTAAAGGCTTGTGTAATTGATAAATGTAGAAAAGTTATTAATTCTGTGAATGGCAATATTCCCATAGTTTATCATACTATATAGATTAAAGATATATTATTTTCATCTAATAATCAATGAAAAGGAATATTGAGCTCATAAACTTGTCGTCTTTTATGGTACGTTTTATCGACACTTTCCAACTAATTTCACCAAGAAACCGTAGCCATTTTTATTTCAATCGCTAAATGTTTTTAATTCTAATCAATGATAGTTTTATCAATGAAAGACCATTTTGAATGACTCTAAGAGACAATCGTGTGATTTGGTGTGA